TCATACCTAAGTGAGTAAATGTTGACTGATGTTCCCACCTCCATGGGCATGACTTATATACATACTACTACTACTTAATGGCCTCTTGTTGTAATAATGTAAAGGCTCATAAACCCCCTTTCACTGATTTGACAGCTGCTACTTTTAAGTTACATTCAAACACAATTGCTGCATTGCTATGATTTGTATTTGTCAAAAAGAATATATTGCATCCAGCATGTTACTTTTTACACAGTAATGACTCTTGAATGCACTTCATCCCTGAAAAGGAATTCGATGTTCAAGTGCGTTCCGTCGTTCTCTCTTTCAAAAACACTCACTCTGTCTTACATCCCTGGCTTCACCCTCGCTCTTCCGCTCTTTCTCTTTTTGCATCATCCCCTCCTCTCTGCCTCTGTCTTTCTCTTTATCTATCTCTCTCTTCCTGCACTCCTCTGTTTATAGCCAGTGACTCCATTGAGCGGGGGCTAATGGAGGCCCCATCCAAGACCCTGCTGATAAATAATGTAGCTTCTTTATAATGCTCCGTCCCCAGGGAGGGTCCAGAGAGCATCATTACTGCCTCCCCATCCTACACAGCCAAGGCCTAAATTGATTAACAGACACTGGAGTGGTGCAAAATGATCCATGGGGCTAGTGTAGTGGCTAACAGCTCGCACCAGGTGGGTCAAAGCCTCCGCCTGTCAGTGTCGCATGATCCCACTCGGTACTCCCATTAGCCCCAGTTTGTGTCCGGTGAGCTAACTGATGGCCATAACAAGCTACCACTAACACAATAGTGAGAGAGCATCGCCTGGACTAGGCTGTAGGGAATGTCAGAGTGTTTTTATGGAGCTGTTGTGTAAATGATGGTGTGTGTTTCAGCTTTTATAGGGAGGAGAGCAGCGGCCAAAGCAATTGCAGGCATCAGTATGGCTCTTCATTGACTGTGTGAGACAAGAGTGATGGGGCTCAAAGGTTGATGGCTACATGAAGATATTTGATGTAAGGAATACATCTTCATTAAACCCACTGACACGTATGAAATGGGAAGAGAAGTTTTACTAAAATATGAGCCAGCCTGCACAAAATGAACACATACATGTGCATACATAGAAAACCAGTAACTTTTTCAGTCACATATTACCCAAACATTGCTGCTTTCTCTTTTTGGGACTAATGAAGAAACTGACATGATAGTGATGTAATTTAAAAATGCATGTTTTTTTTTTTTTTTTTTTTTTTTACAAATTCTCCATTGTGAGGTCCTGCAGAATGTCCTGCTTAGTTAATCAATTGTATATAAGACAAATAAGTCAACTGCAAAATATATTATTTTTATTTTTTCCCCTTCAACAGAATTACTTCATTAAGCTTACATTGTTTTGACATTAAAGCTGCAAATGAATGTGATCACTGAGCCTATTAACAGTAAAAATTGTTCAGAAAGCTGGTGCTAAAAAGCCTGTTTATGTCATGCAAACATCCTAGTCTATACATAGGTTAAGGAAGCAAGCAGCAAAATGGCGCCTTCATATTTTGACTGGCTCAGAGACTACTCTAAACTTGTATTGTCCATAGACCCAATACACAGCACTATAAAACCCTTTGAATGAGCATAAGGTTAGGCCAGCAGTCATATTTCTAACTGTCAGGGTTGCAGATATCCAAGAGATATGCTCTCCAGCCGCAGCAGAATGACATTAGAGGATTATGAAGCCTGCTTCAGATGTTACAGAACCAAACTTTCTGGAATCTTCCATCTGAAATGGATTAAATGTTGTCTTTCTGCAGCTAGTCCTGAACTTGTGTTGATAGTGCTGACTGCAACTAAGAGACCATCAAAGCAGCTTTTAAGCTGGAAGTGGATCAAAGTGACTCTGAATGTCTGGCTGGTGACCATGGCACAAAGATGATTTTGCACTTTTGGCTTTTTGAACTTTATATTGTGGTGTTGTGCTACACTCAGCTTGAAGTGCACTTTTTGTTTAGTGCAAAACATGCTGTGTCCGTTCTGCATCAGCACTAACATGATAGATAACATATATGAGGAAGGTACACTTTTCATAATAACTTTGTTTTCATTTATGTTTGTGAATTATTCAATTCGGTTTTAGAAACAAGAACAAGGTGTACCTTTGAACTTTCAGATTAGGGTTGTGTTGTTGACCCTCCATATAATTAGGGCCCGAGCGATATAGAATTATTGGGGCCAATACTGGTATCGATACTTGGGAGAGAGAAAATCTGATACTGATATGTCAGGCGGTATCTTTCTTAGATTTCTCTTTGATCGTTAGAGATAGATAGATGTAGATACACACATTTATTGTGTTTATCCCTCAAATGCAGTTATCATACAGATATGTTATGAAGACACGTCACTCAACTAGAAAATAACTGTGCATGTACGTGCATCACCGCTCGACACTCTGGAGAGTGATAATGCTTGTTGTAATCAATATAGCAGAATCTGCTGGTGGAAGAGAACTGCTAGTGTCATACAATGAAACTCAAATGAAATACTATTTGACTGGTGAATGAATCTAGTAATATCTGTGCGTATACAATTAGCTTATATCAGCAGATATTATCATCTGGCCGAGTTATCAATCAGGCTCTTACTACAAAGCTTTCTTAAGTACCACAAAGCTAAAAAGACTCAGTAATAGTTGATCACTTTGCAACTATTTACATGATCAATTAAGCTGTCAGGTCTTTTTGCAATGCAATCTAAAGATATGTTACTGTTTGAATTTCTCATTATGACATCATAGCTGATTTTCCTTTCTATAATTGCAGTTAAGCTAATACTTAAGTATCAGCAAACTGGACATGTCACGCTATTTACATTTTTTGGGGCTCTTAGAATTTTGGAATTGCATTTCTAGCTATTTTTTGACATTGTATAGATTACAATATAGTTATGTTAGTTTTCTTATGTATTAAACATTCCTGACTGAATCCCAAATCTTGCTTTTTTTATGATAAAAAAAAGAATGTCTTATATGGCTTCTTCTGTCTAGACATGCTGCGTCAGCCACTCTTCTCCTAACAGATACCCTATTAAAAAAAAGAGTTTTCTTGGTTAGCTATATAAAAAGAAGGCCTATAGAAGTTATGGGTGGCCCCTTTCAGTAAACTCTCCTTTTTTCTCCCATACTGCACCTGGGGAAAAACCTGCAGGTCTTAAATGGAGGAAGTGATGCTTCTTCTGCACTGCCGATGACAGATACTAAGATGTAACCACACAGCCGGTTTCCTGTTTCTTTTATTGTGGATAGCTGTTCTCTTAGGATGCTAGGAGGGTATGAAGTCATTGTGGTGCCTTGAGGTACAAAAAGGTATCAGTGTTGAGATATGTCTTCTCTTCATGTCTCTGTCTCTCTCGCACACGCACACACACACACACACACACACACACACACACACACACACACACACACACACACACACACACATTTACACAGACAACCCCTATGTTCACTCCCTTGTAAGAATACGCGTAATCTACAGCTTCCCTCTAGGTTTTGTGTCAATAGTAAGTGCCCTAGCCGCCCACAACACACACTACACATTAACACACAGCCATGTTGTTACCAGCACCTGTTCTCATCAGACTCTCCTGCCTGTTTGTCAGTATGATGCAGACTATGTATGCAGTAGTTGACAAAGATAGAAACCACTATTCATCCCATAAACTGGAGGGCCAAGAATAACTGCAGAACGGTGGTAATGATGTATTTGTTGCTGCTCGTAGGGAATTCAATACACTGCAGGCTTAACAGTCAGAGAGTGATGTGTCTTTGCCCATGAGTCAGTGCGGCTGAAAGGTGGTGGAGTTCTGACATGATGTTTATTTGATTCTGGTATTGCATCTGAACTTTTATGCAAAAACAAACTTAAACCAGAACTACATTGTATCTCTCTAAGTATTGTCATAAACAAGGTGGAACCAGAAGAGCTTGATGTGCTCTTTTTTCTCGTTTGTATGCTAGAATGCGTGTGGCTCCTGAGTGAAGCTTTGTGGAAAGCTTGCCTCAGCAGGCATTGAAAGTTTCCCTCCAATTAATTCAGAAATACCTTTTTAAATGTCTTATTGATGCAGAGTGATCAGAGTGGTTTTTGATCACACGTTATTCCTTTAAAAACTCCTGACTAAATGGGTTCACGCTTCTGTAGAAAACATTGGTTAATTTACTGAAAAGGCTATTGTCATTATTTCAGTTATTAATAGGGAAATACTAGCAATCATTTGCTCTGATTTGTTAAATTTGAAGATTTGCTACTTCTGTTTGTTTTATAGTATGTTTTTGCCATTGTGTAACATATAATGAGAAACTAATGCATCTAATGCAGTGCAAAAAGGTATTTGAAGGTGCTAGTGTCTTAAATAGTTTTTTTTTTAACACAATAAAGGCAAAATGTTCATTGATGAAATGAGAAAAGAATCAGAAGAGAATTGTGAATACATTGTGAGATGCATCTGTGCTGGAGATTTCAGGTACTGGTAGATTTGAGTTTCCATTTGGCATCCAAACTCATGTTTGATATAAATATGCATTTCTGCAAGGTCAAGAGTTTAACATTCAGTCAACATTCCTATAGTCTGTGTTGGCAGTTTACTGTATGTGAAGCCTACTGCTGTAACTGACGTTTGTGAGTGGCTGTAATGTGACAAGCCATACGGACAGGAAGCTATCTTGAGAATTTCTGATCAGATTGGGGCGGATGCTCATAGGAGGGCATGTGTTGTGACTCCTCTGCCAGTTTCCCAGAAGTCATAACTGACACGGTCATAACAGCTATAATGGTGAGATCATCGCTTCAACATGCATCGTTAAGGTGATCGACTGATGAAGCATCAGTTCTGTTCATGATGTTTAAAGGATAGGGGGAAACAGATCTCCATACTGGCTACTACTCTGTTACAGAAAGGACACAAGCAGGAGTGTCAGAAATCAGTGATGGTACAACTTTTGCCTTCTAAGACTAACCTATCTCTCCTTTCTTTTAGTTATTGCCTGTCAAGAGGATCGGATATACAATCCTGTTTGCTGAGAATTATCTGAACTCCAAAAGGACAAACACTCACTCTCAGTGTTTCCCCCCCCCCATTTGTTGGACTGGACTTTCCTTCTCCCCTGCTTTCACTTTGCTTTGGACAGAAGGGAGAAGGGAGGAGGACGCATCGTCCAACATGAACGTCACCTCGCTCTTCTCCTTCACCAGTCCGGCTGTCAAACGACTGCTGGGTTGGAAGCAGGGAGATGAGGAAGAGAAATGGGCAGAAAAAGCGGTGGATGCTTTGGTAAAAAAACTGAAAAAGAAGAAGGGAGCCATGGAGGAGCTGGAGAGGGCTCTCAGCTGCCCGGGTCAGCCCAGTAACTGTGTGACAATCCCACGCTCCCTCGACGGACGGCTGCAGGTGTCCCATCGGAAAGGTCTGCCGCACGTCATTTACTGCAGAGTGTGGCGCTGGCCCGACCTGCAGTCCCACCATGAGCTGAAGGCCCTGAGTGCTGCGAGTACCCCTTTGGCTCCAAGCAGAAGGATGTCTGTATCAACCCTTACCACTACAAACGAGTGGACAGTCCAGGTGAGTGAAACTCTCAACTGCTATTAGGGCCAACAATGACTTTATTGATGATGCAAATGATCCACAATGTCAGAATTAATATTTCACTGTCCGGAATAAGTTATACTGAACTCATTGTACTACAGTTTTAACTTTAGGAGAAATAAAACAGCTTTCAGATGAGTATTTGTGTTGAGTTATCAGGCTTAGTATTAGAGACAAAGTCAAATATCCCTTTATTACAGCACAGTTTCTGAAACACCCCCCAAAAAAGTTACTAAACAGAGAGAACTTCTAAATCTGTCTTGAAATTATATTTCAGGAAGATCTTGGTGGCTTTTTGGTTCATACACATACCATAGTATTAAACTGATGTCAATTTAATTTTAAGGGATCTTTCATTGGAAAAAAAAATATTATGGTGAAAAGATCACTACACACCTTTACAGTTACATCATGAATTTGAGAATCAAGTGATATTACGTCGTCCTTTAAGTTATAAAGTGCTTCACAAAAGGCTGTAATTGAAATAATCAAATTACAAGCACAGACACATTTTTGAAGTTTTATAACGTAAGAAATAAATACAACTCCTGTAGTAAGTTCTACAAGATAAAACAAGATAATTCAATGAAAATCAAATAAAAACTTGTGTGTGATCAGAAAAAGAAGTGCCTCAAGGCCCTCACGGCAAAGGCATTGCAGGAGGAAGACAAATCAAACAGTATTTGGCCTCTTACTAAACCGAAAACGAGGGTCAGCTGACAAGAGCGAAACAGCTGTGTGTGAAGTGTGAAGTGTGTAAAGGGCCAAGTTTGTTTGTGTGTGTGTGTGTGTGTGTGTGTGTGTGTGTGTGTGTGTGTAGAGCAGGAAATTCCATCTGGGGTAGAATGAGGGCTTTGTTTTGGGCATGCTCTGTGCTGCTACCCTTTTTTTTCTAGGCACAAATGTAAACCCACTTTCTACACTCACAGGCGTGTCACAAAGAAAAGGCTACACACACACACACACACACACACACACACACACACACACACACGAGACTGCACACTTTTTCTCTGAGGATGCCTGGGACAGGAAGGCAGTCACCCACACACAATGGGAGGAAAGAGTTGTTGCCTGCCTCGCACACTTTTTGTTTTAGCAGCGGGTGGAAGACAGAGGGCTAAGGTGATTAAACCCCACAGCACCTGTCTGTCCACACTACCCCCCTGCTCTTCCACTCTACAACCACACGCCTACACACACATCCTGTCAATCTCCCTCACTATTCATCCAGCACCTGCTCCACATTGAACCTTTGAAATAAGCTACTGCATTGATATATAGGCCCAATGCAGCACATAGTGTCTACCTGCAGCAACGCTAAGAGCAGCGCAGGCCCCGTCTACAATTTCAGCACCAGCTTTATTTATCTGCGCAGGTATATATAGACACAAGTTGAGTGTATCTGTGTGGTTTGTGTGCACTGCACCTGAATAGCCCTCTCATCAGCAAGGATATTTACCCCAAGTGTTGAATTCCTCAAGAATGGCTCAGCTCGAAATGCCTTTTCAGAGCAGAAACCCGAGATTAATGGTCCAAATACTGCTGGCTAAGACCAACGGCCTGAAGCAAACTTTAGAAAAATGCAGAGACATGCATCTGTGTTGAGATGGAAGAATCAGAAGATTGCCGGAATATGAGAGAAACTGAACTGAAAAAGTAGACACTTGGCTAATAACTAGTCTCACCCTTATACATAGGAAAGTGGACTGTGTGAGAATAAAACAATTATTACAATAATTCTTGTAGGCATTTTATCAAACACTGATGAGTCATTGATTACACGTTTTCATTCACAACCTCCTACTTTTACAGATGTGAAAGGAGTTGCTATAGTTTAAGCAGTGTGGAAATCTCTGAGAGTTAAAACATTTAGATAAGTCTAATTATTTATGATGTTTTAACACCCGATGTTCACAAAACTGAAAGATTAAAAAAAAGTTTGAATATTTAGTTAAAGTCATAGCGTTAGCTTTAAGTGGATGAACAGTTTAACTTTAGTCAATCAGCCTTTGGTCTGACTTGTATGTGGAGTCATATTTTGGTTGATTTAGAGGAACGGCAGGGCTGAAGCATTAAAGCTCTTCCTGTTCCAACCATTTTATTACTTTTTTTCCCCCCTCTGCAGTGTTGCCACCTGTTCTGGTACCAAGGAACAGTGAATTCAACGCCAAGCATACGATGCTGCCTCGCTTCCGCAACCCTCTGCAACAGAATGAGCCGCACATGCCCCAGAATGCCACCTTCCCAGAATCCTTTGCTCAGGCCAATACCATGCCCCCCAATTTCCCACATTCGCCGGGAAACAGCTATCCAAACTCACCGGGAAGTGGCAGCAGCGCCACCTTTCCTCATTCACCATCCAGCTCGGACCCTGGCAGTCCATTCCAGATGCCAGGTGAGATGCTCCGCTTATTTATCTCTCCACGTTTGCTCCTCTTCTCTATGATGAACAGTACAAGCTCACTCATTTGCTCTTTGTTCTGCTTTCATGTTACAGAGACTCCCCCTCCTGCCTACATGCCTCCAGAGGAGCCCATTACTCAGGATTGCCCCCAGCCTATGGACACCAACCTATTAGCTCCAACATTGCCTATAGAGAGCAGCAACCGGCCAGGTAACCATGGCAGTTAACCGTTCTTACACACAGGCACACACCCACCTGTACTTGTGTTCACAGTGGTATCATCAAAAACTCTAGTCTGCACCTGCTCAACTTGATCTCCAGGGGCGATGTGGTTAAACTCCAAATACTAAAAAAGGAAGAAACCCGCTTATAAGCTGCATCCTGTCAGATAAAACCTGAACAGTGTGTGGAAAAGACCTGCTAGTTTAGGCTCTGTCTGTGGGTTCCAGCACATAGGAAGCTCAAATTAAGCCAGGCCCAAAAGCAGTTTATTAGGTCTATAAAAGCCAGAGCTTATGCCATCTCTGCTAGAGGTAATGGCTTAGGACTCGTTAACGTTCGGATTCACTAATTACTTCCAACTTTAGATCTTAAATGTGGTGCAATAATTGCTGCTATCTCTACTTTGTGGTTCTGACTGTGTTGTGCTAGAGAGACGTATCCAAAACCTCAATTCATGAATGGAATAGACTGCACAAGGGAAAAATATCAGACCCAGTAGCCATCTGCTATAAAGGACAATATTTTTTTTATCAAAAATAATTGCAATGCAAATAACACAAATTAATCAAGGTTTAAAAACAACTGGTCAGAAAACTGTCCTGGAAGAGAAAACAAAAACAAATCCACAAATGTTACACACAGACTTCCTCAAACAGCTGTTACCTGATGTGCATATAATACTGTGATTGTTATAACCCTCTGAGATTAAGAAAGTATTTCTGATTCTGATTCTGATTATTACATTACAATAACAATAAGTACATTAGAGATTATCAGGAACACTGTGCGTTGGCAAAGTGACTCCGAGGAGTGGCTCACAACATTTTTTTTCCAAATGGATGTCAATTAGTGAAGCCTCATGACAAAAGGGTTTTTTATGAGTTATAAGCAGGGCAGTCTGATGTTTAGAGCTATTAAGAGGTAAAATATGAAATAATGTTTAAAAATAATAATATTCAACTTTTTTTCTCTGCCAAGTTTCAACCCACTGGCTAAGTTCATGCCCTGTTCAAAACTGATTGTCTTGCTTATTCCTTTTTTTGCTCTGTCGCACGTATAACTGTCACCGTGTTCTCAGAACAAAGCAATTATTTAACATGATGTTCCCACAACCAATGCAACAAGAGCCTATTTTCATCCTATTTTTAATCCTCTTATCTGCAATGGTTTCAAATTAAATGTTTGCAGTGACACATCAGGTGTTTGCACTTGCATTATTCTGGGAGAACAGATGCACAAACTTTAGTTTTCCACACTTGACCTACAAAATGTTTTTTTAGGATCCTGCTCTCAAGACCAAAAAAAAAAATCCTGCCCACACATGGTGACAGCGGTGGCGGGAAGAGCTGTTGAAATGTTTTCTGGAAGTGGGAGTATAGGATTTTTTCTTTTTTCTTTTCCACAAGCTGCATCCTGTACAGAGGAGCGGGTTTCTATTGTAGGCCAGCTCTGGGAGGGGGACAGACAAAACACACCTGCTAGCCAGTGCCACGCTACAGAGGAAGTTTGGGAAAAGTATGTGCTTAGATAAACATGATTTATTCCTCTCGCAGAGAGGGTGAGGCCAGCTGGCACTAGTTTGCTTTCAGATCAGGGCACAGAGAGCACGGCCAGGCAGCTCCTATTGACTGCTAGCCTGCTCAATAAAAGCTGGCAAACAGACCACCGACATCAGGCATTCTTTAGGATGCTTCTGCATTGATTTTAGTCACTATAAATGTACACAACTGTAGCCAGCGGGTCAGATATTTTAACTCAGATCACTGTTAGGGGATACAGGAACAAATTGAAAGAAATTACGGCTCAGATTAGTAAACTGTAGTGAGCATCATTGGCTACTTGTAGCTCTGCACCGGAGTCTGTGAATGGACATTGTAATCAGCTCACTCCTTTGACCTGTTAATGTGCTTCCTGAGCAGACGTGCAGCCTGTGGCCTATGAGGAACCCAAGCACTGGTGCTCTATTGTTTACTATGAGCTCAACAATCGTGTCGGAGAGGCGTTCCAGGCGTCTTCCACCAGCGTGCTCGTCGATGGCTTCACAGATCCCTCCAATAACCGCAACCGATTCTGCCTCGGCCTGCTCTCCAACGTCAACCGCAACTCCACCATCGAGAACACCCGGCGGCACATCGGCAAAGGTGCAGTATGGAAAGTCTGATAATGACGCCAGTGACTGTCAGCAGACGAGACTAAATCAATTCATGTTGTCAATAGTTGTTTAAACAGAACAATAACAACACAAAGACTAAACATGCATTGATTTAATTTGACCACATTGATGTTTTGGGACCTTTTTAGTGTGAGGAGAGCATACTCAGCCTCTGAAGGTGACCAAGCTTCCTTCTCTCCTGCTTCCCTTCAGGTGTCCATCTGTATTACGTTGGTGGGGAGGTGTATGCAGAGTGTCTGAGTGACAGCAGTATTTTCGTCCAGAGTCGTAACTGTAACTACCATCATGGCTTCCATCCCACAACTGTGTGTAAGATTCCTAGCGGCTGCAGCCTGAAGATTTTCAACAACCAGGAGTTTGCTGAGCTTCTGGCCCAGTCGGTCAACCACGGCTTTGAGGCTGTTTACGAGCTCACCAAGATGTGTACCATCCGCATGAGCTTTGTTAAGGTAGGTTGATTCGATTTAAAATAAATAAATTAACAAATATATATATTTATTTGGACTGTAGAATATTTACTACAGTTTAGAGTATTTTTTGATAACTAGAATCAGCGTGTCAATTTTTTAGGGCTTATAATTATTAGCAATTCGGTTTTTTTAAAATGAGTATGGAAAATTAATTATTATTTGAATGCTGTTTTTATTTTGAACACGAGAAAAGTTGATTAAAAAATGTTGAGCACAAAAATCTGAAATCATCATCTTTTTTTTAAAAGTTGTGTTTCATTCTTGATTAAAACCTGTAAGAACAAAAATGAACCCATTAGATATGCTTGTTTTGTTCTGAATTGGATATTAGTATAAACAATGAAGTAAAATATCTATATTGACTCAATCAGAAACCATGACTGGACTGCCCGAATATTATTTACAAAATTGAAATAATCTTGCTGCATATTTCATTATGATGTGTTTGTGTGTGTGTGTGTGTGTTGCAGGGCTGGGGAGCAGAGTACCACCGCCAGGATGTGACCAGCACACCCTGCTGGATCGAGATCCACCTGCATGGTCCCCTACAGTGGTTGGATAAGGTGCTAACCCAGATGGGCTCCCCCCACAACCCTATATCCTCCGTCTCCTAGGCTTCACTGTCCTCAGCCCTATGGCTGTCCACACCCCGGCATTTTGGTCAAAGTAGCAAGAAAACGGTCCCAGATCAGCCTGTGGTTCAGTCAATCTGCTCTTCTTTCCCTGATAACTGAACATGGTTTTGACTGGAACACAAGCTGATCTGGGACCAGTAGGGCTGGGCGGGTTGTTAAATGAGTTGGTTAGTTCTCTACTTGAAGGATGTCTGAATTGGGCACATTTACAGTCTGGGAGAGGAGTAAGCAGAGAGAGCGGGATGCAACTGGAAGATACTTGATCTTTGTGACCAACTGTAATAATTAGACCATCACACTCATCATGATGCAAGTATCCTCCCTGATCTTGCTCCCACAACATCTCCATATTCATCGTTCTATTACTCTGACTCATAACTAGTTTGCATCGGAATATTCCCTCTGAAATACAGATATTGTACGCAGTTCCAAAAGATATGGGACATTCCAGGTCACCTAAATTATGCCGCTGTCACTTCACTGAGGCTGGCATGAAATGTACTTACGAAGTATGAAAAGTTAGCAGGGAGGCGGAGTTTGACCAGTATAACAAAATGTTTTAATCATCTCCAGATACTTAAACAGTTATATCATATCCTCAGACAGTTTGTAGGCTTATAAAGTAAAACAATATAAAGTGTTAAATAACAACAGAATCCCACATCACAGATTGTAAGATATTAGGAACAGAGACAATTAGGGTGAGTTTGAGGGTTTAGAGTTGGGGTTAGTGTGGGGGCATGGCACAAAAAGGGCATTTCAGACTATTCAGAATAAAAGGTTCATGTTTTAATGTTGCTCATCTTGTGTTACGCTCGTGTTATTATTAAAAATAATAGTGTTTAGATATATTCACTAGATTATGTGCTGTGCAGTCTGGTTTTGCAAAGCATAGTTTGGTTAGTGTAGTGTTTCACATTTAAAGACTGGTAGCTGAACACACAAAGAAGCAGAGGCAGATTTTAAGTGCAGTTTAGTTGTTCCCTTGTTGTATTCTCTGCAGCAAACTAAATATGTCTCAAATACGGAGTCACATTGAGGACATAATACTTCTGTTTCTGTGCATCATCATTCTCTTATTACACCACCTGAGCAAATCGTGTAAAATGACTGTTATGGGAAAAAGTCGAGCATTCAAATTATAATTGTTGACTGAGCAAAGGGTATCAGTTACTGATGGCCCGGTATGATTTTTTTTTTAAATACAAAATTTGCCATTCAATTCTTTTATGCTTTAAGCAATCCTCTTTGCTATTGAACTGTATTACTTTCTACATTCTTTTTGTATTTTTGAACATGTTTTCTGTTATGTTTGTCTGCACTTTCACACATTGCCTTTGTTTAGTTTTTTTTTTTTTTTTCTCCTCATGTTTGTGCTCAGAAAAACTCCCAGAAAGCAGTTTTATTCCATGAATATAAAGCCTCTACTGGAAGATTCAATAAATTTGTTTCATTACATGCACGGCTCTGTCTCTTTGAACTCTGAATGTGTCTTGTGCCACCCATGCTAAAAACATATGCCTGCTGGTATTGTCAGGGACATTTTAAAATGTAATCCACTGAGAGTATGGTGTGAGTGTTTATGGAAATAGACCGTCATTAAGATGGAAACATCATATTCAAGTTCATCTGAAATCACTGACTTTAATATCTTTCTGCGTGTTTATATGTGCAGAAGTTTAATATGACTGAATGATGTCAGTGGTTTCACAGTGGTTAGTACTGTTGCCTTTCCAAGATTTGGCATGTTTCTCCGAAATTCCACAGATAAGCAGGTCAAGTGGACCATAGTCTCGGGGCCAATGACTGAATTTGAAAACCGAATCTAGTCAGGGCTTTGAAATAAACTTATCAAAGTCAGACTAGGCAGACTTACATTTCAGTAAACCTTATTTTTTCTTTTACTAAACTCAGGCATAGTATTTACTTATAATTGCAATTCTTTCCATGTCCTTTGCTAGTTACTGAGCCCATCAAGTAAAAGTACATTTTGATAACTACCCTTGGAGTATCCCTTCTATTTTGAACGTTTACATGCTTTTGTTTCTAATGAATTAAAATTATGGTTTTGAAGAGAATTTTGAACAAGTTGTTTTTCAAGTTTTATGTCATAAAATGTCGTTATACTTTCAAGACAATACACAAAGTAACAGGACATCAAACCTGAAACACATTTGAAAAAATTGCAGCTTTAATGCATGCATTTTGTGTCATTCCTATATTTATTTACATATGAAAACTAACTTTTAAGATAACAATACTCAGTATTTGCGACAATGTGTTATTGTCTGAAATGAACTTATTCAGTTATTCACCTCAAGGGCTCAGTAGCTTACAATCCTTTATAACCTTTGGCCTGATCAAACATTTTGGAGGTGTGTAGTAAACAATAAAGAACCAGTGGCTTTTGTATAATCAGTGATTTCTCTTGGTTAGACGGATTGTTATGTTTATAATACCTATGAATTTTATTTAGTTTAATATTAGAGAAAATTAAAAATAAACCTCTGCTGCCATCTGCTTGCCAAAGTCGGATACTGTCAGTATATTTATATAAAAAAAAAAAAAGATAGTTTCATAAGCAAAACAGTGAGGAAAATATACGGACAGATGATTGAGATAATATTCATTTGATTGAACTGCATATAAAAATAATAAACAACTTAAAGAGCTAGGGCATTTTCTTATATATATATCGTTTTCTTAGAAGTTTCATTGCATTTTAATTTTTAAGTGACTTTTAGGGGTTTTATGTCAGACAGAAACTCATTGAAATATACAAAGAACTTTGGATTTACTTTCCATGTACCTGCATTTGTGTTTGTAACATTTCCAAGTGAGATAACAAAGTTCACCGGAAATCATTCCTTCTAATTTTCCACGATAAGAGTTGCCATATTAAAATAAACATTTTTGCTGAGGAACATGTGGGTAAAGCCAGTCATGTTAATTTCGCCAGATGGCTCACGAATACTTACATTGTGAAAATAAACCATCAGTAATCTTCATTAAAACACACAGCTGTTGGTTTCAAATCCCATTTTACTCTGAAACTTTTCAACCGGAAGTGTTAGTTGTGGGGGGGCGCGGCCGCGCTATAATGTAACCGGAAAACAAGAAGAGCGTTACCGAACCAACAGATGATCCGTAACCTGCAACACCTCCATGTAGCGGGTACGAGGTCAGCGTGAATTGTTATCTTTGTCTGACTGGACAATTTTTGTAAAACTTTTCCAAGATATATTTTGACAACTGCATTTTGTCTGACAGAACATTAGTTATTTAAATGTTAAGCAGAAAGTAACCCATATGAAAACGAGCTGCATGCAGCTAAATGTTAGCTTTGGTTTCAGAAGTAATTGTGCCATTTAATAATAATAATAATTTATACTTTATTGATGCCGCGAGGGGAAATTCGTTTTTACACTCTGTCTAGTTAACATGCTACACAAACACAGGCTGAAATATACACACACATGCAGAAACAGGATCCTATGGACATGCACTAATGGAGAGGTCTCAGAGTGAGGGGGCTGCCCACAGAGGGCGCTCCTGAGCTGGTTAGGTGCCTTGCTGAAGGGCACCTCGGCAGTGCTCAGGAAGTGGACTTGCACCTCTCGCAGACTAAGCTATTGCCGCCCAGATGTAATAACTTCTTGGTGTGAAGAGTCTACACATCAACACTTACCCTTTATCCTTGTCTCCTAGATGCCCCAAATTGGCTGCAAAATGAGAGGGTTTGGCTGCTCCCTTCGCCGCATTTGCGCCTCCCTTCCCTCCTCGTTTGCTGTCCCCTCATTCACCAGGACATGCCGCCTCAGCCGAGGGGTCTTCACCGGATCCAGCCTCCTCGGTCACAGCAGTCAGCACAGGAGGAATGTGAGCACAGCCCTCAGGCAGCCCATACAGGACCTGAGTGCGCCGGAACAGAGACTGCTGAATAAACTTTATGCAGGGCTGATCGGGGGACAGCGGGCATCTCTGGCTGAGTCCATCACATTGGTGGAGACCCAGCACCCAAGGAAGAAAGAGCTGGCCCAGGTGCTGTTGCAGAGGGTGCTGGCCTACAGGAGGGAGCAGGAGGGTCGTAACGGAGGGAAGCCGGCGGCCTTCAGAGTAGGTGTGTGTGATCTGAGTTACCTGTTGTCAAAAACAACATTTTTCACCATGATATGCAATTAAACGAGATCAAATAAAACACCTGCCAACATGGAGACGTTTAGAAAAACAGTATACCGTTATAATAATGACATTTGGCATTTTAAAAGAAGCGTTATTTAGACTGTGTGTGTGTGTTTATAGACCAGGGGTGGGCAGCTGGCGGCCCTCGTCAACCCTCAACGTGGCCCTCATGTCAATTTTTATATATCAAAACATGACAAAACCTGCCATGAAATCATGAAAACCAGAAATGTGTCCATAATAATATTTGATCACTGGTGTATGTTGAGTTAAATTTGAGACATAATTGACTGTAATCGTTTTTGTATCCTACAATTTGGCCCTCTGGCAGTGAGAGTGAAGTGAATGTGGCCCTTGCTGTGACCAAAGTTGCCCCATCCCTGTTCTAGACATTGCAGTTACATGTGTGATATGAGCATAGCCATCCATTGGATCAATCCCTGTTTGTTGATGCTTTATCACTCTTAATATTTACTCAGGTCTGTCGGGACCTCCAGGAGCAGGGAAGTCCTCTTTCATCGAGGTGGTGGGCAAGATGTTGACAGGACGTGGACATAAAGTTTCAGTGCTGGCTGTAGACCCGTCGTCCTGCACTACAGGAGGTCAGAGCGTCAGATCGTCATCACACAATATTGATAAAGAGCAACTATTAATTTCTTTACAATGTGAAATTGATTCATGTGGTTAATCGGAAGGTGATGCGTGCAAAGATTTTCTATTTTTAAATGAGTACTGTTTGTGTATTATTTGCTGCCTTAATTGGGCCGTAGCGATGGCGTTTGTACCTCAGCGGTAGCACTACTGATTATTCTTGTTGCTACACACTGACTCATCCCTCCTGTTGCAGGGTCTCTGATGGGTGATAAAACGCGTATGACTGAACTCTCCAGGGACATGGACGCTTTTGTCAGACCATCTCCTGCCTCAGGAACGCTTGGTGGAGTCACCAGAACAACAAATGAGGCCATTGTGTTGTGTGAGGGTGCGGGATATGACATAGTCCTTGTAGAGACTGTAGGTAAGACACTGGGATTGTCAGTCAAAACTCAAAGTGACGCTCCAGATATAGTAATGCATTTTTGTTATAAGACTGTTTTTTTTTTTGTCACCCTGGTTTTGCAGTAGAGGTGCACTTTTTCTTGATGTTCATCATCATCACCAGTGTTTGCATGAGATGCTGACTACATTTTTCTGTGTGTTTTGTTTAACAAATAACCTCACAAAAAGCACTCCTGTTCTTCTACTGCCTAACAAGACGTGTGCTGACAAAAGTTTGTTTTAATATTGAGAAAGAAAAGCATCAAACGGTCTCTGCCGTTAAAGGCTGTGATTCTCAGTACTCAGAGTTTTTCTGCTCAGTGCTGCAGACACTGTTCGGTAAAGTGTTGAGATTTTGCTAGCTTAGCATATTCATCAGACACCTTCTTTGCACCTCAGAGGCTAAAATGTATTCACTGTGATGAATCTAAAGTTCCTGGGCACTAATGATTATTCAAAGGAACTTCTGAAAATGTCTCGACCCAAAGCTTGTTTTTTGTTTCTACACATCTTTATCTTTTATTTTGCTTCTGTTTTTTAGACTGAGCAAAGGAATTCAATGGAACTTGCTTTAACTTTAAGGTGGAAGAGTTTGGTCAATTATCTAAGATGCTGGAAGAGTTAGCATCTTACTTTATCATATTTCTGGTCAGCTGTTATAATGAAATCTCTCTTTTTTTTTTTTTGTTTCCAGGTGTTGGACAATCAGAGTTTGCCGTGGCTGACATGGTTGATATGTTTGTGCTGCTGATTCCACCAGCAGGGGGCGATGAACTTCAGGTCAGTGGAAAAAAGATCATCTGCAAAAACAACAACATTTGTGTCAACTGTGATGAACTGCAAGAACCAGAATATAAAATGTGCTAGGTTGGATAATTCCCCTGTCTCCTCTGACAGGTAATAAAGATGATTCTGTTTGGGGTATTGAAGCAGAATCTGGCTTTTTTAAAATGTCTTTAGAGGGCCATCTATTGATGTCCTGGGCCTGGCATGCATCCTATGAATTCTGTTACATGTGAGCATTACTTATTGAAACTTAATATGACTGTGTTTGCTTTACAAGTTTTAGGTGAAGGTTTTATGGAGCTTTTTTTAAAGATTTATTTTTGGGCTTTTTGTGCCTTTTATTGTAGAGATTTGATGGTGGATAGAGTGGAAATCAGGGAAAGATGTCATTTAAGGATACCTTTCCGATAGAACAGGACAGTTGTCATTAAAAGTAACCCCCCCCCAAAAGCTGTAAACGTAGGGGAAACACTGTGCTGATGATTGAGGACAAAACGCATTTACTAATTAAGATTGTTGAAACTATCTATCATTTCTGCATTTAAATGTCAAAATACTACCAAAGCAGTGTTGTATATTTGTTTTTATTCTGATTTTATACAATCATTATCGAAAATATTTCAAGGAATTAAAAAAAGGAAATCCATAATGTCATTCAAGGTGACTACTGTTTTTTTTTTTTTCAATACCTGTCTTCTGGAGTAACATGATCAAAGTTAGGACGGATGTCAGCAAACGTTTGCACAGAACTAGCGTAACTAGTAGCTGTTTTTTTTTGGAGTTTATTGTCAGGTGTACAGATACATGAGGTGAAATCACAGTTTTAAAGGTGACGGACACTTCTCAGTGAAAATATCCGACATAAGCTGATCTGCCGTCATTGTTTTTGATCAGTCAGAGGTTGGCACAAGTGAAAAATCAATTGTAGGTTGCAATGTCAGATTTTATAGTTTTGTTTTTTTCCCTCAAGTAAACTGGCAGCCAACCCCGGCACCATGCATCCATCTCTGCCCAAATATCTCTCAGCAGATTAGCAGTCTAGACATCAGATTTATTTACAGCATTTTAAGAAGTTAATGACCCCCCCACCCCCTTTGCCTTTATGCCAAAATCTCTTCCCAGGGTATCAAGAGGGGCATCATAGAGAGGGCCGACTTGGTGGTGGTGACAAAGTCGGATGGGGACCTTGTGGTGCCGGCTAGGAGGATCCAGACTGAATACACCAGCGCACTCAAGCTGCTCAGGAGACAGTCCAAGTCCTGGAACCCTAAGGTGGGCGAGAGTGTGTGTTTTTACTGTGTAATGTCGAAGGGAGCAACAACAGAACGTTTAAGCCTTTAAACAAATGAACAAGGATAATTGACACATGTAAAACATCTGACCCTACTGGGAAGACACAGCAGTAGTAGAACTGCTGCATCGACCCAACAAGCCTTCCCACAGAGAGGTCAGCTGACCTAGAGAGAGGCAGGAGGGACCATGATGGTGATGATGATGGTGGTGGTGGTGTGGTGATGATGTCATAGCATCATGGCTTCAGTGCTGCAGTGTCTCATCCCTCCCTGCATGTCCCAGCTCACCCAGCGCCGCCTGCCTGCATGCCTGGCCTTGTCCCTTTGTTTTCCCAGCCCAATGCAGCATCTGCCCACTGGGCACGCTGCCAGGAAACACCCCCACCTCCCACTCCTCCGATTCCCCCCCCCCCCCCCCCCATCTCCCGATCCCCCAGTCCCTGCTCCTGCTGCTCTGAATATTCAGCTGCTGTGTCATGCGTTTCTCTGATAAGAAGCCTGCACACTCGACATAAAAGCTGCTTTTCCTATTCCCCTCTCTGAGCGTATTCTTACCTTTGCCTTCTTGCCCTGTTTTGTGTCTGTCTGTTTGGTCTATTGCATCATCATCTGGATTTCTTTACCTTGTAAATTCATTCAGTCATTCACATCCTCACTTGGCATTAAAACATAAATGACATGGATGACATTAAAGCTTTACTCTGTAATCTACGAGACCTCATACTATGCTACTTTTTCTAAAAGTAAAAGCTAAAATATCTACTCAATACGGTTTTTGTTTGTTGTGATAGTAAAAGAAAAACTATGTCACAAAAGTTTCAAGAGCCCAGTTTGAAATTTCGAAATGCTTTGTTGTCCATCCAATAGTGGCGTGGCCTGTAAGTAACATTTTTTTTTTCAGCTGTTTTAAAAGCGGACTCTCTGGTCATCAAAAGGGCTCGTTAAATAAACATATACATCGTTCTTTTAAGAATAACTGCTTAGGGATCAAACAAAAGTCTTAGAGTACACTAAGTTTTGGATCCGGAATTTAAAAAGCTTGATCTGTGTCTCTCGCTTGTCCTCTAACCAGAACAGTAAACAATACGAAACTGTTGTAGTGTCCCATTGTAGGTTCAGCTGCTGTTTTCATAAAGGACAAATTCAGATATGGTATCTTAAAACCTGGACAGATTAAAGTAAACCATTCAGCATGGCTAGACACCAGTAGGGGTAGGTGGCGTAATAACGTCTGTGTTGCTATATGCGGCACATTGAGTCTTTATAAAGTTTGATTTCCTGTTTTTGCATCAGACTCGACTCAAGCTGTAGTAAAAGGATAAACGTAATGATGTAATTAGAGGATTCATAATTGGCCGTTCAGCACAGGCCTCCAGTATTTTTCAGACCTTCACATTAGACATTGTTGACTGCCAGTTGATATGAAATGATCTCCAAATAAAACTTGTAATTTCACTCACTTTCGCAGTGGGGGGGATTGTTTATTGAAACTGTTGCACGGTTTATTTGACATCAACAATGCAGACTCAATGAGGTTCTCTCGTTTTTACTCACAAGTGTGTGATGAAGTGATTAAAACAGATTATTAGCCGTTATACAAGCTGTTTCATGGCTCCTAGACTACATGTGTGAATGAATGCTGCTTTTGTTTTCCTAAATCGGAGGCACTTTAACTGTTGTGTCTGCTCTGAATTTGAATGTTACCCCGAATTTCATCATTTGCTCTTCATTCTTTAGCAAGCTTTAACAAGTGACTTTTATCCCCAGGTGTGCTTGTGTGGCTGTTATTATGGAACACTTGCAGTTTGTAAAGAGTCCTGACAGCTTCCTACAGGAATGAGGTGGTTGCAGAATAGTCTTTTATTAAAGTAAACAAAACCCTCAGAGTAGAGAGAAAAGCAGCATCCTTAAAATCATGTCTTTGCTAAAAACACGCTGCTCTGTCTTTGCGATGTCAGATTCTTTTTTCATTAGTTTTGGTTTTAGTGTTTCACACAGAACAATGCTTACACTTATCTTAACCTCTGTTTTGTTGACTTGTTTCAGAACAATGCACAATAAGCAATGCTCACATTAAGGACACAATTTAAATCTGTCAGGTTGTTAAAAAACTACAACAAATAACTTAAAAAATGTCTACAGAGGGATATTTACAGTAGTAAAAGGAGCGGCAATAAAAAGAATACGGACACCTGCCTGAACAAATTGAATCAACTGTATCTTCAAACACTTGTGGACAATTTGGAGTCAATATAGAAAAATATGAAACCATTCGACACTCTACCTGTTGTATACAACTACTTTAAATTGTTACATTTTCAAAAACTAAAGTCAAATACAATTTTGGGGAATGTTAACCTTTTTTTGGGTCAATTTAAAAAAAAAACAAGCAGACGAGATAAAGGGGGAAAAGAGGGTGCACATACAACATTCTGTAATCTTTTTTATTCACTCTTTTTCGTTTATGACAGTACAGGAGTGTCGCCAACAGATGGCCACAAGCAAGTGGTCACAGTATTAGAGAAAGCTTGGCTATATCTGAGTGGGAGGGTACAGTCGTCCTTTGCATTTAAAGGGGGAACTGTCCATGAGTTTGATCAAGTTGTTGTAAAGATGTGCCATTCCAAACATAAGTACGCTGTGTCTCTTGTGACTGACTTCCCCAGGCTGAATAGTCTTTGTTGTAACTTCTATTAAAAAAAGAGAAAAAGGTTGGAACTCACATGTGCATACTACATCCATCCCGCTAACTCCTTCCTCAGGTGGTGCGCGCCTCCTCACACACGTTTGAGGGCATCCCAGAGGTCTGGACAAAGATGGAGTCATACCGGGATGCCATGCTAGCCAGTGGTGAACTGCAGGGCAGGCGGAGAGCCCAGCAGAGGGTTTGGATGTGGAGTCTGATCCAGGAAAACGTCCTCCAACATTTCCAAAATCACCCCAGTGTCAGAGACGCTCTACCCCACCTCGAGGAGCGAGTCACCAAAGGAGCCATCTCTCCTGGACTGGCTGCTGATCTGCTTCTCAAGGCCTTCTCATCATCGTCATCATCATCATCATCACCATAGTAATTAATGGGACCTTACTATTGGAGAAGGGCCACATAGTGCCAAGAAAGACAGAATATGAGTATATGACCTTGACTCTCTGGTTTGCACAAAAGAGGCATCGTTGTTTTTCTGAAATTTAAAAGGCCTGAAATAAAATCAACCCACAACAGAACTTCAGTTTGTGCATGCTGTTATCCAAATCAGAAGAGACCCGAGAGTGCTCTCACCAACTGCTCTAAGATGTGAAATGATTCGCTGCAAACAGGCTGATTTCTAAAGCAGATTCTGGAGGTGTCGTGGACCCAAACACTACAGACTCTCATGAACAGGTTATCACAAAACAGAGGACCGTAACGGCCTTCTTGGTTTCTTCACAGAAAAGTTTGCACTTTACCCATCACTCGACCTGTCGCATGACTTCTTGTTCATGACATAAATATTGACATTTCAAATGGTGGCGGTATGATCAGTGGAAGAAAATGAGTACTGTAATGTTCAGCTCATCATCATTGTTCAGTGATCAAGCTTCAAACTCTTTGGAATACAAAAAGATATGTGTAAAAGAAAAGATCAAGCATAGCAAAACAGGCATTTTTTTATGATCACTTGTTGCTGAATGGACATTTTCTCAATACCAACACTTTTTTTTTTTCAAAACAACTGGATTTTAAAATGTCTTTAAATCTTTATTTTGTATTAATGAGTGGAAAATTATATTAAAGGAATGATGTGAATCTTAAATGGACAAATGATCAGTACAGAGAGCTTTTCTCTCACCTCGTGTTTGCTCGGGATATGAAAGAAGGAGGAATGATTTATGTAAGCTCTACGAATATTAGCCCTGAGATTTGTCAAAATGTAATGACATTTTTTTTCCCCCTGCACTCAGGAGCCAGAAATGTCAGTTGCTAGCTATCCCCCTGAATGAGTCAGCTGTGCGTTTGCTTCATATTCAGCTAGAACACACTTTAATATTTTCTGAATTACTTTCATAATGCACTGCGCTCCTGGACACCAGAGACTCAGAGACAAAGTGAAGCGACACTCATAACCCCGCTGCTTTATTAAGTTGAGCAGACATGCTGCTTTATTCAGGGAAGGGCTCACCTCAGTGTTAGTGACATGCGCTTCTATACAATTTCACTTCACTGTGATGATGTCATCTGTAAAATATCAGTGCAAACTAAGGCTGCAATTAAGCACCATTTGCTACTTTTATTAATCCTACCATTATTTTATTCATCTTTCTTTTGATTTTTTGGGGATATTTCAGGCTATAAAAAGCCCAAAACTGCAAAAAGATGGTCCAATAACACACAAATAGTCAGCTGAAGATCATTAAAAATAGAGTAAGGAGCAAATCCAAACATAGAACAGCCTGAAATACATTTTTCTTTTTACATTTGTGGATGATAATTGGATTATCAGATGGATAGATTTCTGCAGGTGCTAAATGTGCAATATCATATGTATGTTATATATGAGTTATAATCTTGAATTAAATCAGCATATTATCATATGAACTGGTTGACAATATAATGCTAGCTTCTATTATAGACACAAAATACTAGCACGCAGAGGACTTTTATTGTCAACTTTAGCAGAAGTGTTGCTACAGCTCAGTCTTTGAGTGTTGTAGAATGACTCTGCATCATGTATTCAAAAATAATAACTACATGAAAGGTCAGTGTTGCTCTGATCCGCAAATAAGTAGGGGCAAAGGCTGAGCATGTCTTGCTAATATTCATCGCTTGCTCGTCGCCCACCTTTGACCCCTTCAACCAAGTCTCCCTAACATTTGGGCCAGTAGATTTTGTCTTTCAGAACCCTGCTGGAAAACTGACAAAAAATGTCATCAACTACGACCTTTTCTGGTAGAGATCTGGTTAGAGCATGAAATTAAAATCTAATGAATTGAGTAAAAAATAATGTAATTCAGGAGGTGTAAAACAATGAAGGTTAGTGTGAAGAAGTTTTTTTTAAGCCAACATAAGAAGTACAACTCAACTGTGGCAGTTTAGGTTGTTTGTGGTGGTTACTCTTTACCTTTTTTTCTTCTCTTGAGCTCTTTAACAAACGAGAAATATAACCTCTCTGGTTCAACCATACAGAACGGTATACATCTGATGGCTAACGAGCTAAGTAGTTGAAAATCAAGTTACCTTCATGAACTTTTTTTGTATGTTCAATATAATTTGATATAATATAATTGAAAGTTTGACCTAATCCATTTAAAAAAAAAAATGTTTTTTCTAAGTTGTTTCTTAAAGCCCAGACTCTGGTTTAAAGTAACTACAGTGATTTGGTGCTATTTTTCAAACGGAGAGTCACAGAGACTAAAAAGAGAATAAATAAAGGCTCACTAACTTTCTCCTGGAGGCTGCACCCAGTAATGATCATATTTAATATTTTCAATAATGCATTTTGTTTCTTGATGAATATCGATCCCCCTTGGTATGACTTTATATTTATTTCAGCCACTAGAGGTCTCCCAACTTCCACCTGGCTCTGTATTCATTATCCTAATGACTGGGCCCACAGTGCCAACCACCCTCCTCCTCATAACGCCCCCGCCTCCTGCCCTCCATCCATTCTTCATTGAGGTTGCCTAGGGTGCCAGGTCACTGGGAGGTGAGGACATCAGCAGCTGCCACTCTCCTGGAGCACAGGCTGTACCGTAGCTGTCGCCCACAGTGCCAAACCCTCCTCGGCTGTTCTCAGTCCCCTCTGAAAAATGTGAGGGAGCACTGCTAGGACCAGAAAGGTTGAGTGTGATTGTATGGCTTTGTACCCACAACCTTCTCTTACAAAAAAAAAACAAAAAAAAAAGCTTTTATTTTAAGGCAAAGATTGAGTTGAGTTCTATCCTAATCAAATATTTGACTTGATAGTTTTGCATTTGGAAATACAGATCCCAAGCCCCCCCAACCGCTGGACTGGCTCCCAGGTCGCAGCTCGTTTGCTCCTGCATAAGAGAGGAAGAATGCTGCTTGAATGCAGATGGATTCATTAGGTCTGAGTAACACCCTTCTCCTCCATCATGCTGACACAAACACATACACACTGTAACTGCTCTGGCTTTGCAGAAGGGAACAGTGAGTCCTCCAGCTCTGGACACACTCCACACACACACACACACACACACACACACACACACACACACACACACACACACACACACACACACACACATGCATATACATACACACACAGTTGTCTCCACTGTAAACAACACCATGCGGTTCCACTAAGGAAGATTAACTCAAATGCTGCCGGATCGTGTTTGGCTATTTTAGCCCAAACACAGGCACCGTCCACATGTGTTTAGCATTTTCGCTGAATGTAAGCAGAGGACAGAGACGGGCTCTTTGATGAGGATTTTTCATGTTAAATCGAGGGGCTTACGTTTGACAGCCTTTCTTTGTGTCAGCAGTCTGTAGACAGAATGCTTTAGTGGCTCGGGACGAAACAAAGCGATGCCCTCATACTGTTGCAATTGTGGTCCAAACACTCAACTTTTCCCCTCGGAATCCTCAAAGTCTGGATGGAGAGCTGAACAATGAGGCTGCTACGAATGTCGGTAAACAAGGCAAGCAGGGACGGACATCTTTGTTTCTCTTCTTGTTGGATGTTCCACTGTTGTATTTTGGTTGTTTTCTGGTCTGATCAGAGCAGCACACTGGGGGGAAATGTCACACTTGCCCTCCTACCAGGCTGATTTGGGATCTGTGTTTGTGTGTGTGACAACCGGTCATGGGCTGCTGAGCCACAAAGCCTCACCCTGTCCCTGCTATATTTGCTCTGCTCCTCACACACACGCACATGCCACCACACACCCCTCCCTTCCTTTTTTTTTTTTTTACACACACATGAACACCAGACCTGCTTTCTTCCTACACATCTTCTTCATACATACAAGCCCATCCATCCCCCCTGTCACACACACACGCACACTCCTCGAACGCTGCCTGCCTTGTTGCCCACCCGACTCGGCTGGCTGCTCTGCTGTCTCTCTATAGTGACAGATGAGTGTGTGTGAAGCATTTCCTTCCAGGCTGGGGGCTCGCTTTCAAGACGGCTGCAAAAATGTTACAAGAAGCTGCACGCTAATGGGGTTGGAGAGTTGCAGCAAAGCCCCAAGTATGTATGTGTGTGTGTTGTAGATGTAACACCCCACTCATTATACTGCTCTGATGGGTCACTGTGCAGCCTCTTTATAAGGAGACCCTTATGGCGACATGTCTTATTATATCAGCTGCTGAGATGGATGTTAATACCAGGCTGTATGTGCATGCTGCGTGCTCTCTAGCCTGTAGAGTGATGAGACAAGTTGGTATTCGGAGTGCGTCTCATTGCATGGGCTAATTCTATTTAACCTGGTGAAGTCTGCTGGATGGTTCGGTCAGAATGCCCCAGGGACTCCACTATGTACCTCTGCTTTATTACCCACCTGAGGAGGCAGCGTCTCTCCCACACATGCACACTGCTCTCTGTTTGCTGTGTGTAATTTTACTGAGCAGCCTGTGGGCCCCGGCCTTCATCTGCAGGAAGGCGCGAACAGAGCCTCGGCGCCAGTAATTGGACTTTAGAACTGATTGGGGAACTTGATTGACCTCCGGTAATGGATTTGAGTGAATAATTATTTGTAGTTATGGTTGGAAGATGATATCAGGGAGAGAGAGGCCAATCCCACCAGTGTGACTCACCCCTGCCGCCAGAGCAGAGCGCTGCCAGCACTCAATTAATGAAATCCAGCTGCTCAGACTCCCCCACGTGTGGTGGCTGATCAAAAAAGCACACAGGGGTCTGGTCAGAGAAAGGGTTATCTTCATCCAACCCTTCCCTTTCGTACAACTGGCAGCCTGTGGCCCATCACAATAGTGATTATAAAATCTTCTCCACTCCAGGTACAGGACATTACGGCTGATAATGTCTCCATTAATTTTTAACTGCCTGTGGCAATGCTCAGCACAGCCTGCGGCAGCCATGTTAATGAGACCTCTCAAGATGGCAGGCAGCGCCTCCTCAGGACACAAAATGCAATCACTCTTAATCCTGCACTTTAATTGCTGGCCAAGCCTGCCTAAGTGAATTCAGCTGTTCCATCTCTGCAGGCGAGTGGCTGCACCTCCAGAGCGCTCCGATGTCTCACTCGCAAAGATAAACTTGGCTTCAAAACAAAATGGGAAGTGATGCGAGGTGGTCCCTCCCTTTAAAATTGAGGCTTATTTTTCTGGTTTGATGGTGTTAGAAGAGAGAGACTGAGAGCAGGTCAGAAGCTTTTTTTCTTCTCCTCCCTTACTGCCCCTATGAAGAATTGTCAGCTCTCTTCTAATATGCAGGGAGAACAGCAGCCTCCTTCCTTACCTTCCCTCTCTTTAATCTTTCTCTCTTTGCTCCCTGATTGACCCACTTGCTCCCACATCATTATCCTCACAGCTCCCGTCACTACAATACATTTCTCTTTCCTCTGTTCTTCTCCCTTTCACTCTCCTGCCTTCATCCCTCTACCACTCCTCTTGTTATACGCACTGTCCCCCTCCTTTCCCAGCTCCCCATTTCCCTCCATGTGACCCCTCATTGCCCTCTTGCCAGTCTCTATTATTTCTGGCTGCCCAGTGGCCTGGTCAGAGCTGGTTCTCGGGGGCTGGAGGCAGCCTGTGTTATGACAGGTAACACTGGGCCACACACTCTCTGTGGTTACATGTGGAGGTCAGCCTGTCATACCTGTCCGCAGCTAC